TGCCAGGGCTGGGTACAGTGTGGGGTGCTTGGTCCACCCCAGCCCAGCACTGCCCAGCCATGGCTGAGCTGTGTCCCGGCGCAGTGCGTGGTGTGGGACTACGACTCACGCGGCAAACACGACTTCATTGGCGAGTTCTTCACCACCTTTGAGGAGATGCAGAAGGCGATGGGGGAGAACAAGGTAGGCACAGAGATGAGGGGACAGCTTGTGGGGTCTTCCCTCTGTGCGAGCAGCCGATCCCATTCCAGGAGGCACCTCCCCTGGTTTGGGATTGTTCTCTTGCTGGCCCTCTTTTTGAGGAATGGATGGTGGGTTTGTTCTCCTCCGGGAAAACTGGATCCCCCCACGGAGCTGGCTGAGAGTGAAGGAAGGCAGCCGTGCCCTGGGGCTGCAGGGTTATGGGGCTGTGGGTGCATGTTCGTGGGTCTGCGGGGCCACAGGCAGCACGGGTGCAATGTGCTGCAGGTGCAGTGGGACTGCATGAACCCCAAGTACAAGATCAAGAAGCGCAACTACAAGAACTCGGGAGTCGTGGTGCTGCTGGACCTGAAGGTGAGTGCCGGTGTGCAGGCTGTGCCGTGCCGAGTTGTGCCATACCCAGCTGCCGTGGGGCAGCACCGGGCAGGCCCGGCTGACGCTGGTCCCTATGGAAGATCCACAGGGTCTACTCCTTCCTGGACTACATCATGGGCGGCTGCCAGATCCACTTCACGGTGAGCAGCATCCCTCGTCCTGCAGCACCAGGGGGCAGGCTGCGGTGCCGGAGGGCCGGGCTGGCAGAGCCACCCGACCTTGCGGGGACCCTCTCCTCCATCCGCTCTGCAGGTGGCCATCGACTTCACCGCCTCCAACGGGGATCCCCGCAACAGCTGCTCCCTGCACTACATCAACCCCTACCAGCCCAACGAGTACCTCAAGGCGCTGGTCGCGGTGGGAGAGATCTGCCAGGACTATGACAGGTCGGTTGCTCCAGCAGGTCCCTGGTGCTGGTCACCCTGGTGCTGACATTGCCGGGGCTCCTTACACCCCTTCCCTTGCAGTGATAAGAAATTCTCAGCTCTGGGCTTTGGTGCAAGGATCCCCCCCAAGTACGAGGTAAGGGGGTGGTTGTGTGGTGGGACCCCAGGGATGTGCTTATCCCTCCTTGCACCCTTGGCCGTGGCTCCCGTGGGGCCATGCAGGAGCCGGGGTGGGCACTGGCTGCCCCCTCCCCTCTCCCCCTCCAGGTCTCCCATGATTTCGCCATCAACTTCAACCCCGATAACGATGAGTGTGAGGGTGAGTCCAGCTCTGGACAGGCCGGTCCCATGGCCCTGCTGTGCTGGAGCCCCGTGCTGCCGGCACATCCCCTCTCATCCCTCGCTTCCCCCGCAGGCATCCAGGGCGTTGTGGAGTCCTATCAGAGCTGCCTGCCCAAAATCCAGCTCTACGGCCCCACAAACGTGGCCCCCATTATCTCCAAGGTGGCTCGTGTGGCGGCCAACGAGGAGAGGACCAAGGAGGCTTCAGTACGTACCCAGTGTCCCCAGCCGCTGGCTCTGTGCTTGTGGCTGCTCCAACGTCAGAGCCAAGCCCTTGTCCTGCTCCCCTGCATGGGGCTGCCAGTGGGGCTGAGCACCCCCCTCCAGAGCTTCCCTTTCCCCGCAGCAATACTTCATCCTGCTGATCCTGACGGACGGAGTGGTGACGGACATGGCGGACACGCGGGAGGCCATCGTCCGCGCCTCCTACCTGCCCATGTCCATCATCATCGTTGGGGTGGGCAACGCCGACTTCACTGACATGCAGATCCTGGATGGGGATGACGGCATCCTGCGCTCCCCAAAGGGAGAGCCCGTCCTGCGGGACATCGTCCAGTTCGTCCCTTTCCGGGAGTTCAAGAACGTGAGTGGGGCGCTGGGGTTCCTCCTGCCTCTTCCATCCCCTCCCATCCCCACCCATCCCCATGGCAGCACCAAGCATCACGGCACAGCGAGCCGTGGATGCTGCTCTGCACACCGGGGCGAGTGGGAGCTGTGGTGCCCCTGGCTCACCCATGTCCCTGGTGTCCCCTGTCTCACAGGCATCTCCAACAGCCTTGGCCAAGTGCGTGCTGGCGGAGGTGCCCAAGCAGGTTGTGGAATACTACAGCTACAAGGCCTTCCCCCCCCGTTGCCCCCGCTCAGAGACCCCTGACTCCAACCTCAGCTCACCTCAGTGAGCCCCCCCCAGCGTGGCGTGGGGTCTGACGGGGTCCCCACCATGCCCCAGACCTGCTTTAGCCCCCTCCTCGCCGGGCCAGGGGGCACACTGGGAGCCAGCAGCGTGTCCCCACTGGCTATGGGGATATGGGGACAGCCCCGGTGCCCTGGTGCAGGACTCCCTGGCCGGCATTGCCCACTCCCGGTGCTCAGCACCACCCTGCCTGTTTCCGCTTGGTCCCTGTTGTCCCTGTGGTCCTCTCAGTCCCTGCTTGTCTGTTGCTGTGACATTACTTGGAGGCTGCATGACACCCCCCCCCCGGTGTGTGGGGCCCCCCCAATAAAGCGACCAGCCTTGTGTTCGTGCTATGTGCTCTCTGGGTGCTGACACCAAACCTCTCTCCAGGCGATCTGTGTGGTTCGAGCAAAGGGACAGGCAGCAGTTGTGGTGCTGTCCGTGTCCTCTTGTGCCCCTCACTGCTGCCCAGCGTCAGGCAAGAGCTGAACGTGGCCCCGTCCCCGCCTGCACCTATATTTAGGGGGATTCGTGACTGACAGCTTACAGGGCAGCGCCGGCGCTTTCGAGCCGAGGCGCCTTTGAGCAGCCGCTGCTTTCAAGTTGTGTGGAGCCACCGTCCATCCCGCTGTGCCGCGGCCCCGAAATCCAGGCCACGGCAGCGGAGGCAGCGCTGGCGCTTTGCTCCTGCCCCTGCCCAGCACATTGCCTCTGCCGAGAGCCGCGTGCCGCGTGCCGTGTGATGCGCACCCCGTGCCACGTGCTGTGTGCCACACGCCATGTGCCACATGCCAGGGGCTATGTGCCCATGCGCTGTGCTGTGTGCCATGGCCCATGCCACATGTTATGTCATGTGCTGCGTGCTCCCTGTCGTACATGCATGCCTTGTGCTCTGTGCCATGTGCTATGTACTCTGCCATGTGCTGCCTACCATTGTCACGCGCCACATGCCGTGTGCTGCATGCTGCATGCCGTGTGCCAGTGTGCCGTACCACGACCTGTGTGCTGTGAGCCACATGCCATGTGCTGTGTGCCGTGTGCCACGTACCTCGAGCCTTGTGCCGCCTGCTGTGCACTTCAAGCTATGTGCTCCATGCTGCACCATGTGCCACGTGCCCTGTGCTGCATGTCATGTGCTACATGCTCTATGTGCTGCATACCGCATGCCACAAGCCACACACCGTGTGCTGCATGCTGCATGCCATGCACTGCGCTGCATGCCCTGTGCCAGCGTGGTGTACCGTGTGCTGTGCGCCATGTGTCATGCTCCATGTGCCACATGCCCTCTTCCATGTGCCATGTACCGCATGCCATGTGTCACCTGCTGCATGATTCATCGTACGTGCTCCATGTTACACTATGTGCCACCCCACGTACCGTGTGCCCTGTGCCGTGTGTCATGTGCTGCGTTGCATGTGCTGCATGCCGTGTGCCACACTGTGCCACGTGCAGCGCACCAAGCGCTGTGCCCCGTCCGCTGCACCAAAAGCCGGGTGCATTCACTGTGTGCCATTCACCTCCTGGCACGTGTTGTGTGCGCCGTGCCGCGTGCCGTGTGCCCTTCACCCCGTGCCACGCGCTGCGTGTCGCTGTCCCGGTGCCAGCAGATGCTCCTGGGCAGGTGACATCGTCTGGGGTGGGGTGTGACCCATGGCCACCACAGCAACTGAAACTGGGGCCTGGGGCAGTGGCCACCCAAGAGCCACACGAGTGTCACTGAGCTGGGCTCGGGCCGGGGATGCTGCTGTCACTGGGGATGCTGCTGCCACCAGAGGTACCAGCCTGCCCCCATCCAGGCAGCCACTCACCCATCCACCCGCGCAGCCACGCTGACCCACCATGCCGGCCACTGGCTCCCCGGCGCAGAGCACGCTGCCCGCACCTCCCCGTCCACCCGTGTATTTATAGATCCTGATTCATCTCCTATAAAGCAGGATAATACACGTCGCCATAGAAACCCAGCGCCTGATGAGCTGCGCTGCCTGCGGCTCAGTGTGGGCAGGGGGATGACCTGGTACCTCAATCCATGGGTGCCCCACCGGTGGGTGCAGGAGGACCCCATGGGCATGGGGGTGCTCAATGTCGCCGCAGCTGCACCCACCAGCGTGGGGAGCAGCGGCCAGGTTAGCAGGGAAGATGGTGCAACCAGGCTGCAGTGACAGAGCCCCACTGAGGGTCTCATTGCCTGCACGCAACCCGGTGCAGCCCTGTTGGGGGGTCTGCTCATGCTGGGGCCAAGCCCTCAGCCCCCCTCCCTGACACAGTGCCACATGGACCCAGTGGATGATGGTCAATTAAGCCAGGGGTTAATTATTGACAGTGCCAGCGCTTCCCAAGTGCCTTGATAACGGCAGCTCCTTGGAGCACGGCAGGACATGGGCTGGGGGTGCTCAGGGTGCTGGGGTGGTGTGGTCACAATCTCTGGGTGCAAACACACCAGGAGGGAGAGGAGGGCCCAAAGGCAGGGCGCACCAGGGCAGGGATGGGGGGCAGAGGGTGCACCCTGGCAGCCCTGGGTGCTGCTGAAGCAGCCAGCCCCGTGCCATGGGCTCCACCAGCGCTATAGATCCATGCTGTGCTGCCCCCGCACTGCCCACCCTGCCACTGCCCCCTGCACCGAGCAGATCCCTCGGGATGGGTCCCCCACCCTGGTGGCGCCGGTGGCTCCTGCCCCTCGCCGCTGCCCGCCCCACACCCCGGGAACGCCGGGCTGGGAACAGCAATAAATATTTATTTCCATGGGGTGGAAGCAGGTCATAGTCATCCCCAGCCCCATCGCCCCCCAGGGCAGGAGCCCAGGGGGTAGCCAGCAGTGCCCCCATCCCCAGGGAGGTGCCATGCAGACAGCCCCCCTCAACACCAGACCCCCAGCTCCAGTCCCTGGGGTGGTGCATGGGGCTTGGGGTGGTCCCCACGCAGGCTGCATCCCCTTCAGCAGGGCTCAGGGAGCCAGTCTCATTGTGCAGTGCCCCCCCCCCCGGCTCCCCAAAGCCCATCAGGCCATGGGCCAGTGCACGGGCAGCTCCAGGTCACCCATCTCCTCCTGGTAGAGGCGGTTGAAGAGCGCGTTTTGCCACGGGGAGAAGTGGTCCCGCCAGTCCCCCACAACGCCTGTGGGATGGAGGGGATGTGGTGACAGGGATGCTGCAGCCAGGATCAGCCGTGTCCCCACCATGCCCCCTGCACCCCGTCCCCCTCACCTTTCCTCATGAAGCATCCCTGGCTGTGGTCCATGATCTCGATGGGGATGAGGGAGTAGTTGGCCATGGCGTTGTCACGCATGGTGGCGAAGCTGCAGTGCTGCTCCAGGGCTGCCAGTGTCTCCGGTTCCAGTGGGCACCCCAGGAAGGCGCTGAGCCGCTGTGCGGTGCCACGCAGGTCCTGCAGCGAGGGGGACAGTCAGACCATGGCAGCCATGGGGACAGGGATGGGGACAGGGACGAGCCGGGGCTCACCTGGTGCAGCTCCTCGTAGGTGACGTAGAAGATGTCCAGGAGCTGCCGCTGACCCAGCCAGCCCTTGACGTGGTCGAACCAGGAGCCGTAGTGCACTGGGGGAGGCGGGAGGTGATGGGGAGCCCTCGTGGCTGAGCCCCAGCACCCCAGGGGCTCCCCAGCCCTTACCTGTGCCCTCGAGGAACTGCGTGAGGAAGCTGTCGAAGGATCCAGGATCAGGCAGGAACTTGGCCAGGCGATGGAAGTGGTAGAAGGAGACAACGACGTCCTTGGGGTTCCTGGCCACGTAGATCACCTACGGGGACACACACACACACGGTGTCAGCCCCATGGTGGGGGGATTCCACTCAGGCAACCCCTGGCGATCACCCAGCTGTGGGAAGCCCCATGGGCACGGCATGCCCCGGTGGGGACTCCACAGCCCGTCGCAGCCCCTCACCTTGGCCTTGCTCTGCTGCAGGGCAGGGGCCAGGATGCGGGCGGGCAGATGGGTGGTGATGAGCCGGCAGGCGGCCGTGTCCTGCACGTCCTGCAGGGCCTCCCTGAAGTAGACCTGCTCCAGCCACGGCGCCCGCTCCCAGTTGGGGATGGTCTTGGCGGGGAGGACGTCCCCGTGGCTGAACAGCAGCGTCAGGATCTCCTGCATCCAGGTGGTGCCTGCAGACACGGGAGTCAGAGCCCTGTGAGGGGCACCGTGCGGCACAGCGCAGTGTGGCACAGCGCAGCGTGGCACAGCATCGTATGGCACAGCCTGGCGTGGCACAGGGCCCAGCTCAGTGGCTCAGCACAGCGTGGCACAGGGAAGTTCTCTATGGGACCCTCTGCCAACCAAGCAGTGGGGACGGGACGGGGCTGAGGCAGGGCAGGCAGTGGCTGCCTCCCCCCGCAGAGCAGTGTTTTGGGGTAACGGAGCTCATGGCTGGGGCCGGGGGTCCCTGCGCTGTGCCCACAGGCACCAGGGAGCCGCAGGGTCCTGCCTGGCCAGGGGCTGGCCCCGGGCCCGGCCCCCTCCCCTCCCCACAAGCGACTCCCGGTGCTGCGGGGAGCCGAGGCTGTGCAGCAGAGCCTGCCCCTGGTCCCCAGCGCAGCCTGGGGGTCCCAGCCCTGCCCCACTGCCCCGCACACCCAGCAGGGTCCCCTCCGTGTGCCCCATCGCTACTGGCCCCCTCCGAGCCCCCCCACCCCTCCGAGCCTCACCTGATTTGGGGTAGGTGGCGATGACCACGTCGGTGGGGCGGAATGGGAAGGTGACGGCGAAGCTGAGAGACTCCTGCGTGTGGAGGTGCCCCGGCAGGGAGATGCCGGAGAAGGTCTCGGTCACATCCATGCGCTCCATGTCCCGGCTGCTGCCAGGTTCGCGGCAGGAACCAGCCTTAAATAGTTGCAAAAGAGGAAGCTGTCCCGGCGGGCGGGAGGCGCATTCCTGCCGGGGGGCCGCGGATCCGGCCACGTTGGGGCCATCGCCGGGAGAGCGCTGCCGGCCGGGTGGCCCCGGCACCGGTTTACCCCCGGGATGGGATGGGGTCCCGCATGGGCAGACCCAGCACTGCAGGCAGAAGGGCCGGGGGGACCGGGTACCGCACTCACCTGGAGGTGGGAAGAGTGACGGGAGCCTCCCTGGTCAGAGCATCCCACGGTGCCAGCCCCACACTGTGCCCCACGCATTGAGCTCCCTGTGGCTGGCACTGTGCTGGAGGAAGGGATTCCCATCCCAGCACACTGTGGGACAAGGAGCGGGGCTGTTTCCATGTGGCTCCACGCCATTCCCAGCAGCTCCGCAGTGCCTCTTGCCACACATGACACAGCAGCATCAGTGTCCCCACAATGGAGCCCCCACCGTGGGCGCTGTGCTGTGGGTCCCAGGGATGCCTCCGTATTCTCCCCACGATGCTGCAGCAGGCCCACGGGGCGGGGGGAGCCTGGCGCACATCCGGCACCATTGGCACCCCCAGGGCAGGGCCGTGCTGCTGCTCCCCAGCCCCTCCATGGCGGGGAGGTCTCAGCACATTGCCACGGGGTGCACCAGACACTTGGCCGCTCCCCGGCACCACGTCGGGGGGTGGCTCTGGGGTGGCCGGAGCCCATCCCAGCCTCGCCGCCAGCACGCAAGCGGAAAACATATTTCATAGCCCTAACAAGCAGCATCCGCACGAGCGTCCCGGGGACAGGGTGAGTGGGGGACAGGGGTGCTGGGGCTTGCCCCTCAGTAGTCGGGGTGCTGGTGATGCCTGCACTCGGCTGGGATGCTGCCGGGTACCAGCACTGGGCTGGGGGTGCCAGCACTGGGGAGGCCGAGGCGGGGATGAGAGCGGCACTTCCCCAGCAAGAAGAATCCGGGCTGCATTAGAGGGGTCGGGAGCATTCCCAGAGCTATGCGAGAGGCCCTGCCACCCAGGAGGGCTGCGGCAGCCACCGCCACAGCTCCCCGGTGCCCGCTGGCAGGGCTGGGAGCAGCGTATGGCTGCGGCTCCTGGTTACTCATTGACGGCGGGAGGGGACGGCCGGTGCATGCAGCAGCGGTGGCAGGTCACCACGGCTCGTCCCCAGCTGCACCGAGCAGGCGAGGATGCCGGGCAGGAGCACGGTGGGGCTGGTGCTGGTGCTGGCACTGCCCCTGATCCTGCCCATCGCCGGGCAGCAGCACCGGGAGGAGGCCGAGCGCATCATGACGACCACGCCGGTCATCGACGGGTGAGCGAAGGTTGCCCGGCCCCGCGGTGTGTCTGCCCCATGAGAAAACCCCAGCCGGAAAACCCACCGGGGATGGCCCTGGGGGGATCCCCGTGCCGGGCACCCCGGGCCCGTGATGCTGAGGGGATCCCCAGGAGGTGCAGCCCAGCAGGAGCAGGCAGAGAGTCGGGAAGCCAGGGGCTGTCCCAGGGGAGTCCCTGCTCAGATCCCACGGGGTTGTGTCCTCGGGGATGTCGCTGGTGTCTTGCCAGGACCATCACAGGCTCCCATCCTCCATAGGGTTCCCCCGCGGCACCAGCCCCGGGTATAGGGTGCAGGAGAGGAGGAGCCAGAGGATGTGGGGACAGTGAGGGCAGAAGTGGGAGGCTGCGTCCCCAGCACTTCCCCAGAGACACTGCTGGGAGCGGGACACCGCGCGGCGGTGACGTCCTGTGGTGGTGACATTCCCACGGTGGTGACAGTGATTTCCTGCCGGCAGGATCCCGGCTGGCTCTCCGGGCACGAGTGGGGTTGGAGGGATGCGTGAAGGGTCCCTGGCCTCCCTCTGGCTCCCTGCTGGCCAAAGGGGGGGACACCTGGCTCTGGTTTTGGTAGGGGGCACAGATGGGTGGGGAGGTCAATGATGGAGGGATGGATGGAATGGTGGAATGGTGGTATGAAGGAATGATGGAATGGTGAATAAGGAACGGATGGATGCATGGATGGACAGGCAGCCAGACAGCCCCTCACTCCTCTGCCCCCTTCCCAGGCACAACGATCTGCCCTGGCAGCTCCTCAAGAGGTTCAACAACCAGCTTGGGCTGCCAGAGGCCAACCTGCGGCTGCTGAACGGCACCCACACCAACATCCCCAAGCTGCGCAGAGGGCACGTCGGGGGGCAGGTGGGATGGCAAGGGGACCGGGGACACCGGGGTGGGACTGGGGACACCATGGGGTGGCAGGGTCCTGAGTCTGGGGTCCTGGTGCTCACCGCGTGCCGTTGGGGGCAGTTCTGGTCTGCGTACGTGCCCTGTGACACGCAGAACAAGGACGCGGTGAAGCGCACGCTGGAGCAGATCGACGTGGTGCACCGCATGTGCGAGCGCTACCCCGACACCTTCGCCTGTGTCACCGACAGCGACGGTGAGCGGGCACAGGGCTGGAATGGGGGTACCCCGAGGGACCCCAGGCTGATGTCTCCCCCCTCCATCCCGCAGGCATCCGCCAGGCCTTCCAGAGCAACAGGGTGGCCAGCCTCATCGGGGTGGAGGGCGGCCACTCCATCGACAGCAGCCTGGGCGTCCTGCGCACCTTCTACCGCCTCGGTGTCCGCTACATGACCCTCACCCACAGCTGCAACACCCCCTGGTAGCAGCCCCAGGGAGGCAGGGACTGGGGGGACAGAGCCAATGCAGGGGTACAGCGTGTGGCCGAGCAGGGGCACGTGCCCCGGGGTCTGCCCTGATGCTGTCCCCGCTCCGCAGGGCTGATAACTGGCTGGTGGACACTGGGGATGATCCAGCCCTGCACCACGGCCTGTCGTCCTTCGGGAAGGTGAGCGGAGACAGCATCGGCAGCGGTACCTGTGAGCAGCGGCACGGTGCCACGGCAGTGGTACCCACCAGCCCGCTGCTGCAGCATTAAGCCAAGCAGCAGTGCCCTGGGTGCACAGTGACCCTCACGCATCCCTCACCCGCCCCATCCCCGCAGACGGTGCTGGAGGAGATGAACCGCCTGGGCATGATCGTGGACCTGGCCCACGTCTCAGTGGAGACGATGAAGGTTGTGCTGAACCTCTCCAAAGCCCCCGTCATCTTCAGCCACTCATCCGCGTACAGCCTTTGCCAGCACCGCCGCAACGTGCCCGACGAGGTGCTGAGGATGGTGGTGAGCGCTGGGGCACGGCCATGGGCAGGGACGGGGACAGCATGGGGGAAGCCAGGCTCAGGGCCACCTCTCCCCCAGGCCTCCACAGGCAGCCTGGTGATGGTCAACTTCTACAGCGCGTACGTGACATGCGCGGACACGGCCACGCTGGGAGATGTGGCAGGTGAGGAGGGTGCCCTGGTTGGGGGTGTCAGTGTCCCCCCTCTCCCTGCTCACCCTGTCCCCTCGGCACCCGCAGACCACATGGACCACGTGAAGAAGGTGGCCGGTGCCCAGTCCGTCGGCTTCGGTGGTGACTACGATGGGGTCTCGGGGTAAGGCGGGTGATGGATGCAGGATGGGCTGTGCCAGTGGGACGGGGCAGCGCATCCCCAGCGCGGGGACGTGGCAAGGGGGGGGTCTCCCCGTGCCCTGCTTTGGGGTGCGGGAGGCGGCTGCCCCGGCACAGCTGCGGGTGGCGCAGGCTCCCCACCGGCTTGGAGGACGTGTCCACGTACCCTGCACTGGTGGCCGAGCTGCTGGCGAGGAACTGGACGGAGGAGGAGCTGAAGGCGGCCCTGGCCGAGAACCTGCTCCGTGTATTCAAGAAGGTGGAAGAGGTGAGCAGGGCGCGGGGATGTACAGGACATGGGGGCACATGGGGCAGCAGAGACAAGTAGGACACGAGGATGTACAGCACCGTGGGCTGTATGGTGACACAGGGTGGCACTGGGACACAGGGCAGTGGATGAATAGGAGCACGGGGACACTCATGGCTTAGGATGTGCAAGGTGACAGGGACTGTGTGGGGCACAGGGACTGCCCCTCGCTGCGGGAGCCCACCCTGTCCCCATTGCAGGTGAAGACAAACCTGCAGAGCATGGCTGCCCACGAGACACCCATCGCCTTCGAGGAGCTGGAGGGGACGTGCAGGACCCGCTATGGCTACGCCAACAGCGCAGGCACAGCCCTGCTCCCGCTGGCAGCCCTGGTGCTGGCGCTGGCACTGCTGCACTCCATGCTCTCCTAGCGCTGGCTCCCACCGCAGCTCCAGCACCCTGCCCAGCAGGATGCCGGTACCTGCCCAGTGGCTGCTGGCCTGGGTACATTCCTGTGCCCCTTCCCTCCTGTGCCAGCACCACAAGTGAAATAAAGACATGTTTCAAGCACCGCTGGCAGCGTGTGCCTGTGCCAGGAGCCACCAGCCCCATAGCCCTGCAGTGCTGGCTCCAGGCTGGAGGTGATGAGCCAGCCAGCACACCGCTGACCACCCTAGGATGTCACCAGCCACCCTGGCTGCATGGCCCGGCCCCATGGGCACACGCCGAGAAGCTGTAACCACACCGGGAGTGACACATCGGTGCAACACACGGTCAGAGTGGCTGTAGGGCTGCCTCCGCAGGACGCTTACATTCATCATTAGCTAATTAATTGGCTACTCAATTATCTTCTTAGCAATTTCCTGTCACATTTGGGAACAGCCTGTCTGTGGTGCGGAGGCGGCTTTGGGCACCGGGAAAACAGGCAGGGGAAGGAGAGCCATCTTCCTGTGCCATTCGCAGATTGGCTGCGGCACAGAGCCCCGTCTGCCAGCCCGGCACCGGGATGGGATGTGCCCAGGGCAGCCACGGCAGTGGGACACGGCCACCAGCACGGGGGTGAAGCTGCTGTCGGTGGGTGCCGGAGGCAGCACCAGGGTGTAAGGCACTGGGCTCCCACAGTGGGGATACGAGATGAGGATCTGCCCCTCATGGAGCTCGGCCTTCAACCAAGGACTGGGAAAGGTGAGGAGAAAGGCACAGGGCATCACAGCAGCTGATGTGATGGTGATGGTGGCAATGGGGCTGCAGTAACTCCTGCTCACCCTGATTCCCCCCCCAGTTCAGGGAACTGGTCTTGGTCAGCAGGGGACCCACGGCTCTGTGGTGACTGATGCCCTTTCCCTGGGGAAGAGGAGGCAGGAAGCTGCAAGAGCAGGACCAGATCCCTCCGTCTCACCCCAGCTCCACAGCAGCCCCTTGGCCTCTATCCCAGGCAGGGGACAGGTCACAGCCGTCACCCTGTGCCACAGAGGGGACCACGGACACACTGTTCACATCTGAACACCCAGACACAGCACGACGGATGGTCAGGGGTTGTTTATTTGAGATAGCAGAAGGGAATCAACAGGGGTTTGGAGAAGAAGGCAACAAATGAGACAAGCTTAAAAAAACAAAACCAACAAAACACGCAAAGGAAAGCACAAACAAACATCACCCTGACAGAGGGAGCTCCTCAGGGCAGTGGCTCCCTGGGCCCACGGGTGTTCCCTGTGCAGGGGGACAACTCTGCCTGCTGCCCGGCTCACTGGGAGGTGACACAAGAGCCAACACTTCACCACGCACAAGTGACTTGGGAGTCCAAAGCCACCTCCAGGGTTACCTCCCCTCGCCCCACCACAGCACGGGGTGGGGAGGAAGGCTCTGTCGGTAACCAGACCCACGCTGCTAAGGCCGTTGAATTCAGAGGAAATAAGCAAAACGGTGAGAAGTGTTTGTGTTGAAGGGCTGGGACACAGCCCCTGTCCGCAGCCAGTCCTGCACCACGCTTGCACACACAGCACAGGTGCCTGGGAACGTCAGCGGCACTGGGAGCTGCTCCCCTCACTTCCCTCACAGCACACCTTAAATTTCCCTTTGGAAGTGATGCATTGGAGCCACCCCACTGCCTGCCCCACACCACACAGGACCCAGCCACTGCACAGCCTCCATTTACAGCCTGCAGCAAGTTAAAGTTCCTCCTCCCAAGAGCCAAAGGAAACTGCATTTCCTTCCCGGCATCAACCCAGCACCTCATGGTGCCTGGGAGTCGCAGAGAAGCAGCACAGAACACTTCAGTGTGGGAAGAAGGCTCTGAGGGATGAGCAGCCACGTTTGCCATGAGATGGAGGAGAGGGGCCAGGGGAGGCAGCCCCCTCTCCCCCAGCTCAGTGCTGTTCTACAGGCAGCAGCAGCAGCAGCAAGGAGGGGACAGCAGAGGAGGAATGGCAGCAGACACTCAGGGGACGAGCTGCAGCCAGCGCAGGCAGACACGCTCTGGGGATGGTTTAGCGTTTATCGTCACACCCATCTGGCTGGGGGACATGTGGGGACAGGGCTGCGGCCACCAGCACTGCGAGCATGGGGCTGGGAGCTGCTGCAATCCACTCCCAACTGCTGAGCATGGAGCAGGGATTGCTCCACATGGGAGGCAAGGGCCTGGATAACCATTTCCAGACCAGAGCGGGTGGAGATGGGGGAGCTGCGGATGCACACACACGCATACTTGTGCAGGGCAGGACAAGCATTTCAAAGGTCACTTTGTGGTAAGGAGCTGCAGGGAGGATTGGCCTGGGAGGACAAGCAGCTAGTGATTGGCAAGGTGAAGCCTGCAACACAGGGCACGCAGCTATGGCTCGGGAAGGTTACTGTAAGGGAAGAGATGCCACAGCGAAACCTCCCTTTCCCGCAAGGCACTGACCTTCCCAGAAACCCCACAGCTGGGAGAAACACCCTTCCCAAACCACTGCGGTGCAGTGGGATCCCCCTACTCCTTGTAAACAGCTCCTTGCTGCGGGCCCCAAGGAGAACAACACAAGTGTGCTGCACACACACAGAGGCGAGTTAGGCAAGCAGCACCCCACAACACACTGTGACCCGCCTCCAGAAGGATTCTTTAGTGTTAAATCAGGAGCGTGACACTGCACCGTGAGACACTGCCAGAAACCAGCAGCAGCCCTCCAATGGAAAACACGCTGAAATCAGACCCAGGGAAGCATTCCTTCAGCCTGGAGAGGCCACCTCTGCTCAAGAACCCCTGCCAAGATCGCTGCTGGTTCTGGGAAAAGCCATCACCACCACAGCCCCAAAGCAGTGTCCAAGCGCAGGCAGGGCTGGGGATGTGCTGCTGGAGCAGGGGATGGCAGCGGCTGTGGGGAAGGAGTCCCGGGCCCATCGGCCCCACACCATCCCAGCAGGGGCAGCAGTCCAGAGGGGCGACAGGAGACCTTAATTCCGCAAGGCAGCCAACCTGGAAGGAGAGCATGAGAGGGAAGGAACGTGAGAGCAGCTGTGACTCAGGAAAACCCTCCATCCGTGACTTCAGGAGACATCTCTGCCCAGAAACCTCCTGCTCTGTGGCAGAGGTGTGAGGAATTCTGCCCTGGATCAACCTGGAGTGTTTGGATCACACAGCCACGGCTGCCTGGGGTTAACCTGGAGTGTATCACCAACGCAGGCAAGGCCCTGAGGAAAAGGGGCTCCTGCTTTCTGTTGAGCACCTCGCTGCTGGCCCAGTGCCTCTCCCAGAGCTGTTCTCGGCTCCCAGGGGAGCACAGCCTCTGGGCTGTCCCCAGATGGACCCAGTGGGGGCTGCGTGGGGAGAGGAAGCTCATCAGCATCTCCTGGGGCAGTTCCAGGGAGACAGCTTGTTCCTGGAGCTGTTTGAAGGTCAGAGCCAAGTGTTTCAGAGCAGCGGCAGCTGCGTGAGGGTGAGCACAGAGCAGGGGGAGACTGTTCTGCACCCCATGAGGAGGGCCTGCTGCCGAGTGCCAAAAGACACCATGTCCAGGCACACAAAGTGGCCCCACGGACCCAAATACCCACCTCGCCTCCCTGCACAGGGTATCATGGGGACTGCCCAAGCACCAGAGCAGGGGGCTCAGTGTCCCTCCAGCATGCCACAGTGGGCTACCTCATCGCCTTCCCACTGCTGAGTGGTCCCTGGGAGAACTCAGACTGCTCGAATAAGACAGAGAGCTGGGAAGCACAAACCTCCGTGACAGTTGGTCTTCCTGGGAGCGCACTGAGCTCTCCCCCACCGCAGAAGCACCCTCGGGGAGCTGGTTGAGCTGGTCCATGATCTCCAGCCCGTTCTCCTCCGCAATCTGGACAATGAGGCTGTCTACCTGCTCCTGTGGCGTGGTCAGCGTGGTGGCTGAGCTCATGGAGTCCTCCATGACCTGCGACAGACACAGCTTGTCACCCTGACTCAAAGCAAGAGCTGCCTGGCCCAACCTAGCTGCTTCTGCCAAAGATCCTGCTGCAGATCCTCTATTGCAACCAGTCCCCTCAGCCAGAACGGCCTCATGCTGACAGCATGACAGAGGGGTCCAAAGTCTGCGTGAGAGAATCAGCGTTGTTTTCGCATAATTGGGGATGAGGCTTTGCAATATTAAGGCTTTACAATATTAGAGCTTTAAAATCAATATTAAAACTTTGCAATATTAAGACTTTTCAATACTGGGGCTAAGCTACTAAGGGAACAAAACAAAGGGTTTGAGATATCACAAGTTAAAAAGACACACTCTGTGGTTAAAGACAATATCATCTCTGGACAAAAGATACACTCTGTGGTTAAAAAGAATACTGTCTTTGTACAACCTATGAAACTAAGCTGGTGCAGGCTGGTTCTGTAGTTAAACAGTAAGCTGGCGTGCTGCATGTCTGCCAGAGAGTTACGAAATCGAACCATAAAAGGAGATAAATAAATAAGAGGAAGGGGAGTATGAAATCGAGTAAGGGGAGGTGTAACCAGAGGCAGGACATTTGGCATGTACATTATACTTGCCAGAGAGGCTGTAAACCTTGGAGTACCCAGCCAGTGGGGAAACAAGGGAAGGAACTTGCAGACGGGATAGGAAACATAAATCATAGTTCTGATTTTGCTGTGTGTGCCTACTTGCCAGGACACCCATTTCTGCACAGACGTTAATAAATAGCTGCTTCACTGCTGTGTCTACCCTGGGCTCCAGTTTTTATCTAGAGACCATTTCTCACAGTCTGGTTCTACCACAGACCCCCTCCGAGCAATTGACACCGGGACAGCCACATCCCTTGTTGTGCCACGTTTGCCTCTCTGCACAGCAACTCCTTCCCTGTCAAGCAGCAGAGATGGGTCTTTCCCCATGTCTCTCAGCTCAGGGGGGTTTCCACACCAGAGGCTGGAGTCCCCAGGGGGAAACAGAGCTGCTGTGGAAGCCCCAGTTATAACTGGGACCTACAGTTCAGACATGAGCCCACTCTCCCAAACCCTGCAGCCCCCAGCCCTCCCAGACCCTCCAGAGGCCACCAGCACTTACTGATGTGTGAACATCCAGATTCTGAACCTGCTGCTCAAATTTATCCATCACTGCAGACACCTTCTGCAGGTCCATGGAACTCAGAGCCTTGTCCAAGGCCTTGGTCACCTGGGCCATATTTTTTGTCACCTGCAAAAGGAGATTGCTTCATGTGTGCTCCCCAAAAGCAAGGTATGTTTCTGCTGAGAGCGAAACCCACATCAGTGAAGGAGAAGACAGCATTGGGATGCTCACAGCAGCTCTGCAAGGCAGGACAGGCTTTGTGGGCTCACCAAACACACCAAGGTCCAGCCTGGCTGCGGGTTTCTCTAGCCATGCACCATCACTGAGGACCCCAGTGCTCCTGGCAGGATGAGTCCCAGCCCACCACCCCTGTACGCACAATGAGGCAAGAGATCCCCAGAATGAGTCTCTCCCTCTGGTCAGCCACGGGTTAGGGATTTAATCCAAAGCAGCACTGCTGTGAGGCCACCTCAATAGGACTCTTCAGAGGCCAAACTTGACTAGAGAGGGTCTGAGCCAAGTACAAAGCCTGGTGTGGCTGGGACAGAGAGTTCTGAAGTGGTTTGAGGCAGTGAGAGGAAAAGAGACAGCACATGCTCATGTCTCAAGCCCCACGCACACCCAGAGGCTCTTACCCCCTTCATGGTCACTGCTGTCTGGACCTTGGAGGCCACCGCATCCACCCGGGAGGACATGCGGAGCCAGTTAAGCCCCTCGTTCTTCTTGCGGATGGCATTCTCCGCATAGACACGAGCACACTCCACATTCTTCTGCTGAAGGGCCTGGGAGGGCAAAAGGGCAACCACTTACACAGAGAATGCAGCACAGGTTTACAAACAAGCACACCCTGTTTGTTCCTGACAGCTTCCCAGCAGGAAGCAGCTCTACCGTGGCCTCAAACAGTGAGCACGCCCTGGAATGGGAATGAAATCCCTCTTGGTGTCACTGGGACACACAGTGTCCACCCAGCACATTTGAAAGCTGAGGGGGGGACTCGGAACACTCGGATGCCGCGATGGGACACACAGTGAGGCCTCCGGGGGACCTGCCCTTTGGTGGAATATGCCGGGAGGCCAGCACCAGCCCGCAGCTCCAACCCACCTTTTTGACTTTGGCTTGCTCGGCCTTGGAGTCCTTCTCGGCTTTTTTGGCAAGTTTCTCTAGCTGTTTCGCTGTGAACTGCGGAGAAAGCACTTCCTTAGGGCCGGGAGTCCCGCACAGAGCCGGGGCCGCGGGGTGAGGGCACGGAGCCGAGCACACCACCCCCCTCCCCGGGGACAGGAGCCGCCCAGGGCACCCGGTAAACCGGCAAAGCCGACTCCCCTCTTCCGGGAAGGCACGGCTGGTCCCAGAGGAAAAACCCGGCTAAAGGGCTCCCTCTTCCCGCGGCCGCCGGCATCGGCGGGGCGGCCCCGGCACCCCCGCGCCTCCCGAGGGCGGATCTCCGCAGCCCAGAGCCTCCCTCTGCACCGGCGCCGCAGCGGAAGCCCCGACGAGGAACGGAGCCCGGGGCCATGGCGGGGAGGCGGACGGCGACTGGGCCCTCCGGGAGCAGCGGTACGTGACGGGGGGCAAACGGAGCCCGCCGCCGGCCTCACCTTCAGCTGGAACAGCGTGTCTGCAAGGGAAAAACAGCACGGCCTCAGGCGCCGCACCGGGGCACCGCCGGTACTGGAAGCCCCCACGCCCGGTACACCCCGACCCCCGGTACACCCCCACTCCCGGTACACCCCGACCCCCGGTACACCCGCACTCCCGGTACACCCCGACCCCCGGTACACCCGCACTGCCGGTACACCCCGACCCCCGGTACACCCCGACCCCCGGTACACCCCCACTCCCGGTACACCCCGACACCCGGTACACCCCGACACCCGGTACACCCCCACTCCCGGTACACCCCCACGCCCGCCCCCATCCCCACCCGTACCCCGGCACGGTCCCGGTCCCGGTCCCGGTCCCGGTCCCCCCCGGCGCGGCCCAGGCCCCCGTTCCTCCCGTACCGTCCATCCTTCCCCGCCGCCGCTTCCGGGTTCCGTGCCGCCGGTGCCGCCGCTTCCGGGGTACGCGCGCCCGTTCTCGCGAGAGTCACGGCGAGGCGCGACGCCCGAGGGGGGGGGGCGTGGGCGGAGCCATAGGGGGTGTGGCACGCTACGGGGGCGTGGCTATGAGGCGGCGGGGCCGCTCCCAGCAGCGCTGTGCTGCGCATGCGTGGCGCTATGGCGCCCGCCCGAGCCGTCATGGCCGACGGCTGCGGGCCCGAGCCGGAGCCGGACCCCGACCCCGAAACGGAGCCGCTGCGGCTGCGGTGCCTGCGGGGTGAGGGGTACTTCGAGGTGCCGGCGGCGGAGCGGGTGAGCGCGGCCCGCGAGCCCCGGGGACTGCGGTTCTCGGAGGCCCTGCGGGACGGGTGACCCGCGGGCCCGGCACGGGGCGGAGGGGTCCGGGCGGCCTGGGCCGGGTGCCCGCGGTCAGGGGTGCTGGGCTCGGCAGCAGCGCCGCGGGTCCGGCCGCGGGAGCGTGGCTGAAGGCGCTGTGCGGTGCCGGGGGGCTGGGGCCGTGACCGCTCGGTGCGATGCGGCTCTTCGGTTGTAGCTGGGGAGATGCCGGAGCGTGAAGGAGTTCGAGAAGCTGAACCGGATCGGAGAGGGCACCTACGGCATCGTGTGTAAGTGCGGAGCCGGCTGCTCCACCTCAGCTTGAGGGCGCTGTCATAGCCAGTAGAGCTGGGAAGAGGCTCCGCGTTTGCCGGTGCTGACCGCGTGTCGTGTTCTTCCAGACCGGGCCCGGGACACGCTGACAAACGAGATCGTGGCACTGAAGAAGGTGCGGATGGACAGTGAGAAAGATGGTAATGGAGGAGCAGGAGAGCTGTGGCAGGGGCGTCCCCGGCCCCTGCTCGAGGCAGTCATGCAGCGTGGATGTTGCTCTTTGCAGGAATGCCTGTCAGCAGCCTACGGGAGATCACACTGCTGCTGCAGTTTCGGCACACCAACATCGTGGAGCTCAAAGAGGTGGTTGTAGGGAACCATCTGGAGAGGTGGGATTCCCTCCTCTGGCCTCCCATTGTCTCCCGTCTTCTCTGCCTTTCAGAGCCTGCACAGCCCCCTCTGCTGCCTCTCTCAGTGCAGACAAGTGCTGGAACACTGGAGAAGTGACATGGGGAAGGGTCCTGATTGTGTCTTGTCTATGACAGTATATTCCTCGTGATGGGGTACTGCGAGCAGGACCTAGCCAGTCTTCTTGAGAACATGCAGGCACCTTTTTCAGAGGCTCAGGTAAAGATCAGGCCAGGCTTCGGGCACGTTACCCCTGAGAGAGTGCTGCCAGATCACACTGGGCACCAGGATGGGCTCCCTGGACCTTGTGCTGGGCTTCAGGAGGGCTGGGGAGTACCAGGGAGCCAGGATTCCTGGGCTTTGTGTGGAGCCTGGGCTTAGCTGGCCACTGGAGAACTCTCCAGGGCCTTTCCAGGCTGGGTTTTGGGCTGGAGCAAACTGTCAGGGGAACAGAGCTGGGAGAAAATGTGCCCCCAGGCAGCCCGTGGGGTGATCTGGCAGGACATGGGGACTTGCGCTCTGCAGAGCACTGACATACAGGGCAGGCTGGAGGCACTCAAATGGGTTTAAGCACTGGGGGGGTTTGCTGGTGCTGCCCTCATAGAGGTGGATGCTCCTGTCCTCTTTCTGTAGGTGAAGTGCATCATCCTGCAAGTCTTCAAGGGCCTGGAGTACCTTCACAAGAACTACATCGTCCACAGGTGGGAATGGAGGGATGAATGTAGGACGTGAGGAAGGGGTCACAGAGAGAAGGAGCTGATGGGAGGAAGCCCTGCAACTACAGCATTCTTCACCTCCCGCACCCATACCTGGGGACAAGCAGCACTTGGGGGGGTGGTTGAAGCAAATTGGTGGTTCCATGTGGGAGCAGGAGTGGGGCAAGGAGAGTTGGATGAATGATGGGATTAGCTTCGTCTCGTGGTCGCTTGGCTCAGGGCTCTGTAGCTGTCTATGAGCCCTGGATGTGCGTCCCTGAGGAGACGCAGGTACAGGAGGAGCTGGGCCTGAAGGGTGCTTCTGACCAAGCACTGACCTGCTCTTCCCTGGCAGGGATCTGAAGGTGTCCAACCTGCTCATGACTGACAAAGGCTGTGTGAAGATAGGTGAGCCCCCATCTGCTGCTGGTCCAGCTCTTGCCATGGATTGTACCCACATCTCTTCCTCTGTTCCGTGACCCAGCTGGAGCCAAGAGCTTCCTCCTGATCCCAAGTCTCTGTTGCAGCTGATTTTGGACTGGCACGCACCTATGGGATGCCACCAAAGCCCATGACTCCCAAAGTCGTCACGCTTTGGTGAGTGGCTGGTGCTGGGGACAGAGCTGTGCTGGCTCAGTGTGACACAGCAGTGTAGCAGGGCCTTCATTTGTCCCCTTGAGTCAGTGCCGTCCCTTACGCAGGTACCGAGCACCTGAGCTGCTGCTGGGGATGGCGAACCAGACCACCAGCGTTGACATGTGGTAAGGGCAGGGCAGGAGGGTGCTGGGGAGGGGGCCTGCAAACCCGCAGGGTGCATCAATGGATGGGCTTTTCCTATCTCCACTGATTTTCATGTTGTCGGCCCTGCAGGGCTGCAGGCTGCATCCTCGCCGAGCTCCTGGCACACAAGCCACTGCTGCCGGGTACCTCAGAGATCCACCAGATCGATCTCATTGTGCAGCTCCTGGGGACACCCAACGAAAACATCTGGCCGGTGAGAGCAGTCCCCTGCTCCCTGCCCTCCCCTGCCTGCCCTGCCCTGCCCACCGCCACCTCACACCCGACCCATGCAGGGCTTCTCCACGCTGCCCCTGGTGAGCCAGTACACGCTGCGGAAGCAGCCCTACAACAACCTCAAGCACAAGTTCCCCTGGCTGTCGGAGGCCGGGCAGCGGCTGCTCAACTTCCTCTTTATGTATGATCCCAAGAAACGGTAAGACACATCAGCAGCTCAGCCTGGGCAGGGGAGGAAGCCTGCTTCCCAAACAGGGCTGCGTGTGTCACACTGTCCCTAGGGCCAGGGGGAGCCAGGTCAGCACCTTCACGTATCCTCATCCCTGCAGGGGCACAGCAAAGGACTGCCTAGATAGCTCCTACTTCAAGGAGAAGCCCCTGCGTAAGTAGCCTCCCATGGGGCAGGGTTGGGGTGCTCTGTGCCCCGTTGACCACTTCTCTCTGCCCCACAGCCTGTGAGCCAGAGCTCATGCCCACCTTCCCGCACCACCGCAACAAGCGGGTGGCTGTCACCAGTGTGGGGATTGAGAGCCAGGCCAAACGCAGTAAGCCCTGAGCTCTGTCCCATGGGAGAAGCATGGCACATGCCAACTGGGATGGCTTTCCTCGGCTGAACAGCACCAAGGGCTTCAGCCCTTCCCAGGACGGCTCCCAATGCGGAGATGGCCCGGCTGCAGTAGAGAAGCGCTGTACCAGCTCCAGCGCGGAGCACCAAGAGCAGAAGAGAAATGAGGTGCAGGGATGCACAGGGCTCCACAGGAAGAGGCTGGCATGGGGCCCTCAGCCAGTGCTGGCTGCATGGTGTAACCCAGACTTTGCCATCAATAAAGGCACCTGCCAGCAGCTCAGAGTGATTTGCCTTATTCCTCGGTTCTGCCTGGGCTGGAAGAAGCCACAGCCCTGCTCTGTTCCCTTCTGCTACAGGCATAAGAGCACCCCTAGGCTCTGCCTCCCAACACAGCCTTAAATCTGCCTGGCCCCACTCTCCTTGGAGGAAAGAGCTGTTCCTGCAGGCCCCATCCCGCCCCTGTTCCCTGCTGCTGCCCCTGTACACCCCTGCACAGCATGAGGACACCACCACACTGCGAGGCAGCTGCACTTTACTGAGATGCATCCAGGCATGTACAATGGGAGGGCCAGGGCTGGAGCAGGCTCCCACCACCCTGGGGATGAAGCAGAGCATGGCCCATTCACTGCTCCCTCCCTGTGGAGCGAGCAAAGCATCCCTCAGGCCCAGCAGTGGCTGTCCCCATCCCTTAGCGGGCGCAAGGGGATGTGCACAGCAGCAGCACGCTGCAGTGCTACGACTGGGGTCCACAGCTCTCGGACAGCAGCATGTCCACCTCCGAGCGCTGCAGCCAGAGCCGCTGCTGCCGCTCGCTGCGCAGCTCCTGCCCGCGGTGGCGGCTGCGACAGGCCAGCCCGTCCGCGCAGGCACCGGCGTGGAGCTGCTGGCATGTGGTGCAGCAGTAGGAGGGCAGCACGCCCGGGCGCAGGCACGAGTGCAGCTGGTAACAGGGCAGCTCTGGGGCCTCTTCAGGAGCTGAAGAGCAGGGAGAGTCCTGGGGCTCCCCCAGCACTGGGGGGGGTCTGCTCCCCACAGCCAGGGCAGGGAATAGGCTGCTGGCCCCACTGAGGTCCTGCTGCAGGAAGAGATGAGAGGAGGAGGTGTCCAGGTCGGGGTTGCCGACAGGCAGCACCAGCTCCTGCCCAGCCTTGGGCTCTTTGCAGCAGTCCCAGCTCCTCATGGGCATGTCCAGGGCACCAACGGGGCTGCCAGGGTCACTCTGCAGTGCCTGGGGGGGGGTGTCCTCGCCCTCCACATCCTCGGGGCTGCTTGGCACGGCTTGGTAAAGGTCCACGTGGTCACTGCAGCCAACAGCCGCTTTGGGCTGCATCCCCATCTGCTGCAGCATCTCCACGCAGGCCTCCATGTCCGCAGCCAGCCATCGGGCCCGCAGCAGGTCCTCGGCGCTGGGCTGCTGTGGGTGCAGCCGCAGCACCACCTCCACCAGGATCTCACACTCCAGACGGCAGGCCAAGAAGCCGCAGGCAGCAGCGAGCAGCTCGGGCTCCGGGGGGAGCCGGGAGACCGTCAAGCGGTGCCGGTCCTGCCGTGCATAGCCCAGCCGGGCGAAGCTCCGCTCCAGGTCGTCTTCAGGGAGTGCTGAGCGCAGCGAGTGCACGTAGGCACCGGAAAAGGTCTGTAACGAGAGCGGCAGCACGGTTGGAACCCCGGGGTATTCCCCCACCAAGCCCAGCCCCGGGGGCGCGGGCAGGCCCGCGGGCCCTCACCTTCACGGTGCCGAACTCCTTGCGCCAGGGGAAGAGGTAGAGGTTGATGGCCGCCAGCTCCAGCAGCCGGAAGGCGCGAGCCAGGCCCGGCAGTGCCTGCCCCGGGTCGGGCCAGCCCCGCAGCCCCCGGGCCAGCAGCTCGGGCGCGTCCTCCTGCAGGGCCCTGAGCACCGACGGCTCCCGCCGCAGCCGCCGCCGCAGCCGCTCCACGAAGGACGGGTCGGAGCAGGGCACGGCGCGGCCGCGGCGGAACTCGCGCTCCAGGCAGTGCCGGTACTGCTGCCCGTACTGCTGCCGCAGCGCCGAGCCCGCGCACATCCTGCCGGTGCACGCAGCGTCAGCACCGAGCTCCGCACCCCGCGCCCGCTCCACCCGCGCTTCCCTTCCTCTTCCCGCGCCACGCCCACCGCCCCGCTGACGTCACCGGGGCGCTGGAACCGCGGGAACGGAGCCCGCGCCCCACAGCGCCCCCCGCAGGAAGGGAGGAGCAACCCCCGAGCCAGCCCCAGCTCTCCCCTTCCCCACCGCGGGGATGCGACCGGGGGGGGGGGGACGACGACTCGGCTCGGTTCATCCCCACCACAGGGACCCCCGCGGCCCCACACCGGGTCCGCAGGGATGGGGACCAGCAGCACCTGGCGGTGGATGGCGAGGAGGGGTCCCCGCGGCTGCCTCCTCACTGCAGGGACTCCACGTAGGACAGGGCGCTCTGCAGGGACGTCAGGCAGTATCCCTCCTCCCCAATCAGGCACCTGCACCACGGCCACCGCAGCGTCACAGCTGGGACACTGCCGTGGCCACAACACCGCCATGGCCACCACACCGTCCCAGCCAGGACACCACCATGGCCGTCACACCATCACGACCACCACACCACCATGGCCGCAACACTGCCACAATCACCACACCATCATGACTGCTACATGACCACAGCCAGGACCACCACAGGCAAGACACCAGGACACTGCCATGGACACTGCATCATCATGGCCAGGACAGGACACCACCATGGCCACCACACTGTCACAGCTGGGACACTGCCATGGCCACCACAGTATCATGGCTACCACATCATGGCCATGCCACAACCAGGACATTACCATGGCCATTACCCCATAGCCCTGCACCCATAGAAGCCACATCTCCCACCTGGACCCCTCCCCATTCTTCCATTAATGCCTCCAGCCAGGGGGTACCCGCACACCTCCAGTATTCCCCAGGCACTTACCCCTCGTGGATGAACTCCTCCAGGGCAGCACACTCAGACAGCAGCTGGGGCAGCCCTGTCTGCAGCACCACGTAGGACAGGATAGGCAGCAGGTCATCTGCCCCACTGCTGCCAACAGGAATCATCAGCCCCGTAGGCAGTGGGATCCCCCACATCCACACCTCCCATCTCCCCACCACAGCCCTGGCTCTGCTGTGTCTGGCCATGGGGCTGGCTGCCCTCCATGGCACTCACATGGCGGCGGTGGCGGGGGTCCGGCGGTCCCGAGCACCGCAGTACTCCTCGGCACACTCGCAGATGCCGCGCAGGGCTCGCACTGTGGCACAGAGCAGGGGATGCTAAGGCTCACCCCGGCCCCCCCCCAGATCCCTCCCAGCTAATGCACTGACCAATGCACTCCAGCTTCCTCCGGGGACAGGTCTCCAGCGGGATGAGGCGCAGGTCCTCGATGGCAGAGCCATACACGGGGCAGCCGGGCGCCGTGGGCAAGAGCCGGGACGCCAGCCCCATGTCGGTGGGGCCAGCGTGCCGGTGCCGCTCCATGCTGCGGGCCAGGGCTGCCTCGTGGGTCTGGTGCACGCTCCTGCGGGCAGAGCGGTGAGGGGCTGCCGGGGAGGGGGCTGTGGGAGCCCAGCCCAGCCCTGGGGTCTCAGTACCTGTAGAGAGCCAACAGCGGGGCCCACAGCGGTGGGAAGAAGGCTTCCTCCAGGCAGGCCAGGCACTGGTCCTTGCCGGCGGCTGTGTTCAGCCCCTCGAAGGCCAGCAGCGTCAGGGACAGCAGCCTGTCTGAGAAGGGATGAGTTACGCAGTATGCTCAGTGAGTGACCCCAGGACACGCTGTACTCCCCACCCGGCCCCCTGAGATGCTCCAGCTAAAACAATGCAGTGCACTCCCCCAGAGAGGATGACTCCCCCGATCCCAGTGCCCATCCCTCACCGATGGCATTGTGGATGTCCCGCACGATGCCCTTCAGCTGCTCTGGTAGCGTCGCCTCTGTCCTGGGGACATCCAGGGGCTCCGTAGGGGCCCAGCCCTCAGGCGATGCCAGGAACCGCTCCAGGTCCTCAAAGGAGCTCTCCCGGGGGGTCTGGGGGGCTGCCGCTGGCCCTGTCCAACCGCCCTCTGCTTTTGGGGGGCCAGCAGCAGCGAGGGGCGTGCTGGAGATGCTGTGCCGCAGCCCGGCTGCGCCATGCTCGGGCACTGAGAACATGCAGTGGAGGCTGCGGGAGGCGCGGAGCCGGCGGCCCCCAGGCTCGGCGGGCAGTGAGCCCCCTGCGTCCAGTGGGAGAGAGCTGAGTCCAGCAGGGGACCCCGCGGCAGAGTCGGCAGCGCCACGGCTGACAGCCGGGTACAGGCGGGTGTACACCGCGCACTGCAGCTGCCGCAGGAGCTGTGCGATGGGGTGCTCAGGGAAGCTGGAAGCATAGGGAGCGGTGGGCAGGGGGCATCAGCATGTGGCTGCAGCCCCCTTGCTCCAAGAAGGGTCCTTCCCCATCCCAGCACTACCTGAGGAGACAGGAGAAGAGCCCTGACACCAGGGAGAGATCCGTTGGGCTCCGCTTCAGCTTGGCTTTCCACTGCCTTGGCCAGTCCTGGGAAGCATCAGATGGGATGGCAGAGCACCCTGCCCCATGGCATCCTGCCCCCACAGTGACTGGGGATTGCACAGCACCCTGCCCCATGGCACAGCACCCAGGGACATCAAGACTTTCTGCCCAACAGCACCTGAGGGCAGCACGCATCCTGCACCCATGGCACAGTGCTTTGTCCCCACTCAGCCTCTGGTGTGTACTCACATGGTCCTGCTCATACTCGAGGATGGCAGCGTAGAGGGCTCTCTGCTCCTGCTCCTCAGGCGTGAGGGCCACGCTGCTGGAGAACCTCCTGTGGGTGGAATGGTCCTGGTAAAGGCACTGCCAGGGTGACCCTGCACCCCGGGGTCCCTGCTGGGACACCCCTTTACCTGTTGGCAGCCTCCTGCAGCCGCAGCCGCCGCTCCTCCATCTTCCGCTGCAGCTGGGCCAGGGCAGAGTTAAGGCTCTGGAGCTCCCGCACCGCTGCAACAGCCAGCGCAACCGGCTGACAAGCACAGCTCCCAGGATCAGCCCTTCCCCACCTCCATCATCCCACCAATGAGTGGTGTCCCTCAGGGATCAGTGTTGGGACCGGTCTTGTTCAACATCTTTGTTACTGCCATGGACAGTGGGATTGAGTGTGCCCTCAGCAAGTTTGCCGATGACACGGAGCTGTGTGGTTCTGTTGATACCCTGGAGGGAAGGAATGCCATCCAGAGGGACCTCGACACGCTTGTGAGGTGGGCTGATGCCAACCTCATGAAGTTTAACCATGCCAAGTGCAAGGTCCTACACCTGGGTCGGAGCAATCCCAGGCACAGCTACAGGTTGGGCAGAGAAGAGATTCAGAGCAGCCCTGTGGAGAAGGACTTGGGGGTGTTGGGTTGATGAGAAAGTGAACATGAGCCATTAGTGTGTGCTTGCCGCCCAGAAAGCCAACCGTATCCTGGGCTGCATCAGAAGGAGCGTGACCAGCAGGGGGAAGGAGGTGATCCTGCCCCTCTGCTCTGCTCTTGTGAGACCTCACTTGGAGCATTGTGTGCAGTTCTGGTGTCCTCAACATAAAAAGGACATGGAACTGTTGGAACAAGTCCAGAGGAGGCCACGAGGATGATCAGGGGCTGGAGCACCTCCTCTATGAAAACAGGCGGAGAAAATTGGGGCTGTTCAGCCTGGAGAAGAGGAGGCTGCCTGGAGACCTCATAGCAGCTTCCAGTATCTGAAGGGATCTATAGGGATGCTGGGGAGGGACTCTTCATTAGGGACTGTAGTGACAGGACAGGGGGTAATGGGTTAAAACTTAAACAGGGGAAGTTTAGATTGGATCTAAGGAGGAGGTTCTTTACCTTCCAGTAAGGTGGTGAGGCACTGGAATGGGTTGCCCAGGGAAGCTGTGAATGCTCCATCCCTGGCAGTGCTCAAAATCAGGTTGGACGAGGCCTTGGGTGCCATGGTTTAGTGTGGGGTGTCCCTGCCCATGGCAGGGGGGTTGGAGCTGGATGATCCTAGGGTCCTTTCCAACCCTAACTATTCTATGATTCTATGATCAGCAGCATGGGAGCAGGACCCCAAAAGCCTGCCTGGGGTCAGCCCAGGGCTGGGGCGGGCACAAGTACCAGGGATGGGAGATGTGGGGCTCTGTGGAGCCCGGCACACCCTCACCACCAGGAAGGATACAGTCTCCTCCCGGGCCTTGGCGATCACCAGGTTCTCCATCATCTGCCGCTGCAGGGACAGCGTCTGTGAAGCAAGCGGCGTGTTGGGGACATCTGCCCAGAGCCCACGGCCACCAGCACGGCCAGCACGGAGCAGGGGACTCCTGGGCACTGCAGGGACCCTCTCCCCTCCCAGCCCACCCCGGGGGGGCTCCCCACTTGCCAGGGACGTCTTCTGCAGGGCCTGGTTGGGGTTCAGCCGTGCCACCCGCGCCTCGTAGGCAGCCTTCAGCTTCTGGTTCTGCAGAGATGCCTCTTCCAGCGGTGTCAGCTCCCTGTTAGGAACCTGCCCTCAGCACCCACCACAGGGCACAGCGATAGGTGACAGGGCCTCTTCCCTGCCGTGCCCCACTCCTGGCACAGCCAGAGCCTGGGTATGGTCCATGCCAGCCCCACAGCCCCCAAGCAGGCCTGGGGCAGCACGTACTTGCGCGCGCTCTGCGCCTCGGTGATCTGCAGCTTCTGGAAGATCTCCGGGGGCAGGAATGGGGAAAGCTTCCCCCCCTCATCCGAGAGGACCCGGCGGTGCCTGGGGAGGGCAGCGGGGGCCCCGCTCCGCTCCTGCGCGGCCGGTTTGGCCTGGGCTTTCCCTATGGAGGGAAGGAGAGGTCACTGTGCCCCTCCACAGCCCGGCACAGCCCCCCCCGCCCCGGGGTCCTGCAGCCCCCCGCACTCACCCAACGCCGCCGCGATGGACTTCACCCTCTCCAGGCACTGCTCTGCCAGCTTCAGCATCTTCGGGGTGTCGGCGGTGACCCCCTCGCTGCCGTCTACGGGAGGGCAGGGTGCTGCTCACCCCA